GAAATCATCTCCTCGATCGGCCCGTACATCCCCTGGTAGTGGATGGACATACGGGGTGGCACAAACTCAGTGGGACCATCCTGATAAAACAAGAAAAGAAATCAGTAAGGTATTACTTGGGGGCTACTCAGTGCAAAACAAAAGCCAAGAATCTTACTCTCACATCCTCGGCCGGCACGGGGGCTGGAGCTAACAAAGGAACTAGCTCCTTAGCATAACTCTGCCCAAGGATCACATGGGACCGCCAAAGAGAACCAGGCTCCTCAGCCATGCTCGACAACTCTCTCTCGTCGAACATGTGGCGTGGTGGAGGAGCAGGAACGACAGAGACATCGGAAGAGTGCTGTCTAGCAACACTCTCTCCTAAATACGCAACTGCTCGTAAGTCCCCAGAAAGTAACGGCGCTCAGCAGAGTACTGTGCGGCTAATCCAGGGACTGTCCAACCACCCCATGGCCGGTATACTACCTCAGGTCCTTATAAAAATACCAATCGAGTAAGAACGTGTATAAAACATCGCAGAAGAGCAAGATAAGCACCAGAAATCATACCGAGATGATCTGACTCCAGACACGTGCAGTAGACAGGTCTACATGGTGGCCGCCCCAAGAGGCGCTCACTGGATACCCCCTCGGCGATGGTCTCGCCGGCGCAATGGAAGGAAAGTATTCATAGAACTAGATCAACAAAAGGCTAAAGCATGAGTAAATGCTAATTAAACATATAGGGCTAAATTTTATAGGGAATAATGTTTACTTCTACAACTTTCCAGAAAGCGGACAAAGCGACATTTGTCCTAAGAGACCGGTGGCGACACGAGTCCCTCAGTGCGCGAACGAAGTCAGTATAGGCCAAGCTGGCCCAGTCATAAGTCCCGATCCGCCGGAGATTGCGAACAGCAGGAAGATAGTAAAACAATGCCCTACTACCCCTATCAGGGGAGAATGTCCCTGACAATAACATCAGCACGAAGATGCGCACCCGCTGCTCTCGGGTGGTCGCATCGTCATCAAGAGTCGTTGCCAGCGTCGAGCGGCGAATCCCTCTAGCACTAAACTGAGTCGTCTTGACCTCAGATCGGGCCCGAACAGCAATAGGCCCCAGTAGTTCCTCGACCTCTGGAGAAAAGACGTCGATACCGCCGTCGAATGGCAGCGGCACAGAAGAGAACTCCAGTCCTGTGATGAGACTGAAGTCTGTAGGAGTGACCATCATCTCACCCCATGGAAAATGAAATGTGTTGGTGGTGTCCCAAAAGAACTCCACCAGAGCACGTAATACGTGATGACCCCCGCTGGAGGCGACCATAGCCTCGGAGGTCTCAAACAGGGCAACCAACCCGCAAGACTCCCATAGGAGTCTTGTCTCTCGATCTCTGGCGATATGCATCCTATACAAATCTCCGAGACCATCGCAGCCAGAGCCGTGATGTCGTGTCCTTCCCGGTTCGGTTCCCCGTATCACCCTCTCAGAAATGTGGTGGACAGGGGCAAAGAACAAGGTCTGCTCATTCCACTCTGGGAACTGACCAAGCGAAGTGGAAGGTGTAGTGTCGTCCTCCACGGGCTCATGCTCCCGTCTAGTGTTTCGGGACCGTGAACCGGAGCCTCGTTGTCTAGCCATGCTACATTGTGCATAATCATCATAAATCAAGGTTCTATAGTATCTAAAGGTTTGGCTGGCCGCATGATACTATGTTCGCAAAAAACAGAGTACGTAGTACTAAAGCAGAGCACAAATTCGAATTGAGCATGATAAGCATTTTTCAAGCAATCAAACAATTTCTTGCAACCCTATAGTGATTATTGTGACAAATTGAACAAGAATTGCTAGCAAAAACATCAAGAACAAGCCACATTGTTTTTCACGACCTTAGGAGGTCCAACAATGGCGGATTGCTCATTTCTTCGCCAAATTGAGTCAAACAAGTCTTAAATTACTCCCAAGGAAATATACAAACATAAACAAGCAATTTCATGGCATAAAAATTGATAAATAGAGCAAATTAAGCATTATAAGTTTCGAATTTTCATGAAATTCGTGAATGAATAGGCCAATAATTCATAAAAACTGGTGTGAGTTGGAAGGAAACTTACATAGATCGGGAATATGGATGAAAAGAGCTTTGATTTGCAACAAATTTGAGCGAATTCGGTTGAGAAATGAATGAGAAACGATCAATTGAAGTTTCGACTTCTTTCGAGCAGCGTTCGCAACAAACCAGAGCAAGAAATGAACTGAAACGGGAATTTAAAGTGAATCCCGTGCTGGCGCCAGTCCCTAGGTTGGCGTCACATTATGTGCTTGGCGCCAGACGCCAATTTCAGCGCATGGCGCTAATTTGAAAAACTGGCGCTGATCGATTTTCAGCGACGCCAAAGCAGCCAGCCACCTTCTGGGGTTGTGCTAGCCTTCTGCAATATATTTTGGGTTCTTTGGTACGCCAGTTAGCCCCTCTAAGAAATTTGACATGATTAGATAATCGGCTTGATTACATGAAGTGATCGACCTGATGAAAAGATCGTCTCACTAAGCTTAAAGCGCCTAAGCATTGGCTCATTAGCAAAAGGCACCGACATACAGGTTCATTAGCAAAAGGCACCGACATACAGGTTCAAGAGCAAAGAACGCCGACGTACAGGCATAGAAAAAAGCAAAGTTCAGGCGAACTTTTAAAGATCGACGGGCGTGGATCTTCGGTATTTTCCTTTGGGAGATTATCGCATCAAATGAGGATGACTTCAGGAGAAGATGTCTTCGACATCATTCCCTAGCTTGTGGAAAGTTGTCACAAACAACTGAAGGTAATATCGGGCGAAATTGTCTTCGATCATAGTTCCTAAGGCATGGAATGTGATCATAAAGCGGATGAGAATTATTTCAAGAGAAATAATTTTCGATGATATTCCCTTGGACGTGGAATATTATCACAGCGGAGAGGATAGTTTCAGGCGAAGCAATCTTCTAATTTGGAAGCAGTTACAAGGCGTAGCGGTTTTCAAGCGGGATGACATTCTCTAGCTTGCAGGAGGTCATCAAAACAAATCGGTTACTTTTAGAGACGTGTGCTCGACGGTGCAAGATACGCGTTTCTTAACTCTTTTATCTGTTTAACTAACATTGTTTTGCAGGTATCGGCGTTACAAGATTGATTTAGGATCGCAGAACGTTCTGAATCATTCTCCGTCCCTATCGATACTTTGACTTTCATTTTTCGAAACTTACGTTTCTCCAAACTCAGTCAAAGTGGGGGCTTCTGTAGACACCCATTTGTGTCTCCCCAAAACCAAACCCAGTGATGAGTACCTTTCACGTCGAATCATAATCGAATGAAACGAAAGTGTGGAAAGGTCTGGTGTTGCGGAAAGTTTTATTTCTTTTCTTTTCTCTTCTCTCTGTTTTTGAAAACTTTATTTTAAGAAAACAGCCGATCCAGTTTGGTTGGTCCATGATATGGGTCCAATAGTGGTGTAGTTGGATGGGGCTTGCAAAGACCTTTCCAACGATATATTATAAGCCCAATTCCGATGAATATTGAGGAAGTTATGGCCAATTTACTAAACTGGGCCCGGTTTGAGTTTTAAATACGGCCCAATGATCTAGGGGAGGGTCTAATATGATTTATCATTCCTAATGTAATTAGGAATGGTTTTGGTCTCCTAGAACATTCTAGAAGGTCTTATCATTCTTAATTCAATTAGGATTCTTTAGAGTTTTAATTAGATCAAATAGCATTTTCGACTGAAATTATATTATTTCATCTTCCAGTACGGGAATTTTATCAGAATTTCGAAAACGCGTTAAAAGCCGGTTTGGGGTCCAACCCCAGGCCTTGGCGCCTGGAACCAGGATTGGCGCCAGACGCCAGCCAAATGCGCCTGGCGCTAGCCACTGGTCCTGGCGCCAATGAGCCAGGGCTGGCGCCAATTTGGTTCTGTGATCTTCAGGCTCTGTTTTGATAAATTATCATTTTTAGCCGATTTTCTTTATAAATATCGTATCAGAAAACTCTGTTTTCATTGATTCATCTACAATCTACAATCTACAATCTACAATCTACAACAATCTACAACAATCATCAACATTCTCCAATTCTCTTTATTCATCATCTTTCTTTCATCAATTCTCAATAACATTAATCTTTTAGCATTCTTTCTTTCTTGCTTTTTCATACAAAATTCCGCATTCACAAGATCTTGATACACCTAGCCATATTCGAAGTTGCCTTCACCCTAGACGTGAAAGGTTTTAATTTCTGAGGGTTTGGTCCCAAATCTCTCTTTCAATTATTTAATTTAATTGTTTTATTCCTAGTATCATGTCTAGGGTGTTTTTAATATCAAATATGATTAAAAGTATGATGCTTCCTATGTTCTTTCTAATATTTATGATTATGATTGATGATGATTATTTATTATGTTGCTTGATATGCATATTATTGTATATTGTTATTGCTTGATCACCTTTTATTGCAGGTTAAAGGGAATTGGTATTTGCAATCACGCTTGATAAGATAATTAATAATCTTGTTAGGTTAATTGTGATTATAATTTCAAGTGATCGCCCATAATAGTTTATTTGTGCATTAAATTCAACCAACATAGATTAAACAGGTTTAGGGTTAATCCAATTGATTGCATGTTAGTCAGAAAGCGCACATGAATACGATCAGAATAAAGTAGTGGCCTATTATTAGGGCAGATTCAATCTCTTTTAGGTTGGATTTGTACCTTCATCCCCGAACCCTTATTTGGTTCATGACCTTATGGAGTTGACGATCTCTTGGATCGTTAAGGGGTGTAACCTTCACCTCGTGAGCGGTTTACAAGTTCCTTAAAAACTTGTTGGCGACTCTTTTGCTCTATCTTCTTCCCTTTTGGACGCCACCGTACTTTAGTGTATGATCACAGTGGGGTTCAAGCTAGTGGGATTTTAAAGGCTTGAAATTATTCCCTACAGGGATCAACTCATTCTACAATGGCTAGACCGCTCTTATCAACATGCCTTATCAATTAGACAATTGGTGTCTCAATTTTCAACAGATCCATGATTTTGTTACTCACACTTGGCAAAAGCCAAACATTGGATCACCCATTTTCTCTCTCTCTAAAAAGCTCGATTTTGTACGAGTTCAAATAAGGAGTTGGTGCCTTAATAATAAGAAGTTCTGGGGGGTGGATTGGAAGAATTTCAGTGAAGCGCTCTCAGTGGAAGGGGAGGCAATTCAATCTGTCTCAGATGCTTCTGCTTATTTGTCCAATATAGTTACTTCGAAAGAAAATATATTGTTACAACTACAGTTCTGGAAGCAACGATGTAAAAAGGACTGGATCCTTAATGGGGAGTGCTCTACTAAACTCCTTTTCTCGAAGGTTAAGTGCCGGCAAAAGAAGAATTACATTTCCTTATTGCTGGATGAGGACGGCCTGTTAAAATTTGGTCAACAAGAGGTTCAACGAATTGTTGTCCATTCTCTGAAGAAAACTTTTAAGTGCGATGCTCTTCCAATTTATGATTCGGAGATTGATATTGTCCTTCAGGAACTGCATCTTCCTTCACTTACTTCTTCCCAGGTTAATAATCTAGAACGCCCCTTTAATGCAGTGGAAATACAGGCAACAATGTTTGATTTGGGGAACTATAAGTCCACAGGTCCTGACGATGTTACCGCAGAATTTTTTAAGCTTCATTGGCATATGATTGGGGATTAAGTCATTGCAGCTGTTAAAAGTTTCTTCCATACGGGTTTCCTTCTTAAGGAATGGAATCAATCCCTTCTTGTCATGATTCCTAAGATTGCCTCGCCTACAGAGGTTACTCATCTCCGTCCTATTAGCCTCTGCAATACAATCTACAAGTGTGCTTCTAAGTGCTTAGATGCCTGGATATGTCCTTATTTGTCTGGTCTCATTTCTGATTCTCAACATGCCTTTGTTCAGGGACGACTTATGTCAGACAACATCCTAATGTCTCACAAATTGTTGGAGAAGATTAACTTTGCTAAAACGGGTGCTACTTGCCTCGCTGCGCTCAAAATTGATATGAGCAAGGCATATGACAGAGTTCACTGGTCTTTTCTCCTACAAGTTCTTCAAGCCTATGGGTTCCCTGCGCGATGGCTTCACATGGTTCATCAGTGTATCTCGACAGTCTCCTATAAATCTCTCGTCAACGATAGTACTTCTGAAGCCTTTAGGCATAATTGTGGTCTTCGTCAAGGGGATCCGTTATCACCTTACCTCTTCCTCTTCTGCATGGATATTCTTTCCAGAATGCTTCACTTAGGCCAGGATTTGCGCCATTTCCAGGGGATTAAAATCTCTAGGGGTAGTCCGGTTATCTCTCATTTATTTTTCGCTGATGATGTAATGGTCTTCTTCAAGGCAACTTCTTCATCGTGCACTAGTATCCTCCAGGTCATCCAGCGTTTTTCAAAAGTCTCTGGACAGGAGCTCAACCTTAACAAGTCTTTGCTCAAATTCAGTCCCAACACTCCTCCTCGAGCGCAAGATGAATTTAAAACTATTTTCAGAATGACTTCTGTTCACGTGCTTGGCCACCATCTAGGGTCGCCTATTGATTTCATTGGGAAGAAGAGGGTTTGTTTCCAATTTCTGGTAGATAAAATTGTTGCGCGGATTACGACACTCAACGCTGTCCGTCTTTCTCAACCGCAAAAAATAATTTTCATTAACTCCATCCTGGACGCTATGGCTTCTCACCTTCTTTCCTGCTTTGAAGTTCCACTTTCGGTTGCCGGGAAAATTGATGGCCTTCTGTTAAAATTCTTCTGGTCCCACTCGGGGACTCGGGGTATGCAATGGGTTGGCAAAGATAGGATGCACCTCCCTCGGGGTATGGGAGGGTTGGGTATTCGCTGCATCTCTACTTTAAATAAAGCCGTTCTTATGAAGCAGGTTTGGAGATTTGTTAACAACCCCCAACTTCTTGTTTCCCGACTTTATACTTCCCGTGCTCACTTCTTAGCTTCTACTCCGTCTCCTGCCCGCCGCTTTTCGGGATGGAATTCCTACGGCCTTAGAGGTCTCCTTCATGCCAATGCCTTGCTTTCTAACGGTTGTAGCTGGAAAGTTGGGAATGGGAAAAACATTCTGGCAGGGCATTCTAATTGGGTCGATGGTACTAATCCTGAATTCAAACCAGTAATCCTACTACACAATTCAAGTGACTGCACAGTAAATTTCTTTATTCATCCCCAGACTCTGTCTTGGGATGTGGATAAAGTACAACAGTATTTTCAGGTCCCGGACGCTTCTGCAATTCTTTCTATGGAAGCTCCAAATGTGGATGAATCGGACTTCCGCTACTGGTCGTCGACTGTCTCGGGTAATTATACGGTCAAGGCGGGTTACGCAATGTTACTACAACAACTTTCAACTCAACCAAAATGGAAATTATTCTTATGAAGGTACTTCATAATGGTTTAGCGGTTAAGTCAGAACTTCTTCGTCGGGGGGTTCCAATTCAAGACGTTTCATGTGCCCTGTGTGGTGCACAGATTGAGGACCTCAACCATTTGTTTAGGGAGTGCAGAGTTGCAAAAGCAGCATGGAGGGGTGGATGTTTGGATATCCACTCACAAGTTCATGGTTACCTTTCTATTTCAGATTGGATCCAATATTATATCCGACTTTTCATTAGTCATGATGGAATTTCTAGTTCCAACATTAGTACCTTTGTGGGCACACTTTGGGCACTGTGGCTATTCAGGAATAAAAGGATTTTTAACCCGAATATGCCTGTTACACAGTCAGTTGGGTTGCACGTTTTAAACGTCATGCAATCTCATACCCTCTTTATGGATATGTATACTACTACGACAATTCCCCCCATCTTCCACTATTCCTGAGGGTTTGCCCCCGCCAGGGTTTCATATGGCCCAGTTAGGGGCTTCTCATACACCCTCTCTCTTCGTTCAGATTCAGATAGACGGGGCATGGTACAAGGACACTCGGCATGCAGGTATGGGGTGGTGTATTGATAATGCCGATCCGCTGGATGACAGGATTATTGGCGGGAGTAATTTCGGAATTTGCGCTTCCTCCCTTCATTCGGAAGCCTTAGCTTGTTTGTATGCCCTACAGTGGGCTTCAGACCGTCACATTCGATCGCCCCGACTTTTTACGGGTTCTTATAATCTTGTTTCCCTCTTGCGGGGCAATGGCCGGGGGGATATTTGTATTCTTTGGCTACTACAGCAGATACAACGTTTAGGCTCTACCTTCCAACATTGCGAGATCTACAAGGCTGACAGGCAACGTGTTCACCGGGCCCACCTAATTGCAGGAGAAGCTGCTATCTTTTTTATTTGCTTTAATAGTACAGTGTTGTAGTTTTTTCTGTCTTTATCCTTTGTCAAAAAAAAAAAAAAGGTTGAAACAAAAAAAAAAAAAGAAAAAAAAAAGAAAAAAAAGAAGACATTCTAGTGTTTTTCAATAACAGGTACTTAATCATACACGTCAAAATTATAAATTATGAGATGAAAAATAAAAAAAACCCTTATATAATTTCAAATTGAAAATGAACATTTTTATCTGAAATTGAAATTGAAATTGAATCATTTTCCTCACAAAAATAGCAGAAAAAAATTAAAAAAAATGTCGAGCATTACAAACAGTTTGGCTCCTAATTTTAGCAGAAGTCAACTGCAAAATTACCGCCGTAATTATCTCAATTTTACCTCCCATTCGCCTGTCCGGTTAACTTTCCCGAGAATCCCGACGCTTAAGCTTCAAGCTTCTTCTGCTGCTGTCATCGAAACGACGCCGGTTTGAATCCCTCATTTTCTTAATTAATTTCAGTTTCTGATTTTTTGGTTAATTATAATCGTATTTCTGAACATTATTGCTTTATGTCTGTCCTTTGGAGTGTAAATTCACTGAATTGTTGTTGTTGGTGTTTTTTTTTTTTTTTTTTTTTTTTTTGAATAATTAAGTTTTTGAGTGTGTAAATTAGGTTTTGTTTATTATAGTGAATTTATGTAAATAAAATGTGGAGATTGAGTATTTTTAATTATGGAGTATATAGCTGTACTGGGTTTTGTTGATTAAAAGAAAATGTACTGTTTCTAGTTAATTGCAGAAATTTTTTATCTGTAAATTGAAATGGGTTGCCTTATTTTTCATAAATTTATCTTTTTTGAATTTATGAACTCTCATTTGGACTCATTTTTCCAGAAATTGGTGGGAATAAGGTAAAGAGAACAAATGCCCTCAAAAAAAAAAAAAAAAAGGTAAAGAGAACAAATAATTTAGTCATGATTAATTTGGGAAGCTTAAAACGAATGGTTATTAGTAGATACTCCCTCGTGTAGGTAGGGTGGTTTGTTGGAGAATTAGATACGAGTATTAGGATGTGAGATAGGAAATTTATACTCCGTATATATGGAGCGCTAAAAAAGTACTCCCTCTGTCCGTTTTTGATAGTCGCAAATGGACAATTTTCACATAAATTAATAAACATAAATAAAAATTAGTAAAAGTACATTGAAAAGGGACTGTTAATAAGGGACGAAGGGAGTAGGAGTGGGAACCATGAAGAGAGAGAAATAATTTAAAATGTAGTAGTGCCATAGCGGGAACAAAAGAGAGACATAAGAATGTTTCCAAAAAATAAAGTGTCATTAATTAAACAAAATGAGGTTTAGGGGAAGTTTGTTAATTAAATAGAGCAAGGAGTTCCCTTAAATAAATAAATAAATAAATAAAGCGAAGGAGTAGTGATTGAAATGCGACTCTAGACTTCAAATGAGCCACAATTAGTATTTGTCTTTATGAAGGCTTTTCCAATAACATATCATTAAAGATGGAGGGAGTGGCTAGGAAGTTCCTTTCCATCCTAATTAATGTTATGGGACTGAAATTTGCACTTCGACACAACCAAGGGGGTGTTGGGTATGAATAATAGAAATGGAGAAAAAAGGAAACAAATAAGAAAGAGGAAAATAATCATTTAACTCTTACCTTTTCATTTGTTTGGTTTAATCATAGAAAGGAATTACTTAAACCTATTTCCCTTTACTTTTGTTTGAGGAGAGTAAGGGTAATTGTTAGCTTAGGTTTTAGAGAGGTAATAAATGGGTGGAAACCATTACCTATTGTTACCCTGGCTTTCCAACCAAAAATTTAGTAACGGTAATGTTTTAATCGAATCCATTTCCAATTCTAAAAAAACTCATACCAAACATGCTCTAAATGTGTTTTTTGTAAATATGTTTTAGCTACTCCCTAATACTAGTATTTTTTCTGTTCTAATTAATGTTATAGGAGTGGAATTTGATATGGAAAATAATTTAGTTACTCCCTAATAATTAAGTTCTTGGAAAATAACCTACGTGTGAGATGGGTAGGACCAGTTGTCCCGCATTGTTAGAGGCATTATTACTAACATATGATAATGAATTAATGAGTGGTTACTTACCTATCATCAATTGGTTTTAGGCTGTAGCCATGCTAGGCTTATATGTGGGCAAACTCTCCTTCGACATGGGCTTATCTATGAAGAAATAGAGAGAGTGACTAAAATATAGGATTGGTGATTGAAGTAGGAGTTGAGAGATACAAGTATTTGTGCGAAATTGAATTACACTTACACATTCGTAGTGTAGATTTTAAGAATTTTTGATTAATTTCTCAGGATTTCCTGCCCTTTATGGGATTTGTGAATTATGATCCTCATTTTATTGTGCCTTTCTATTTTGTGGATTACTTTCAGGAACTTGTCACAACTGACCAGAAATCTGATACTAACGAAAGTATTTTAGGTTGTCCAATCTGTTATGAACCCTTAACATGGAGTGGTGATTCTACTTTGTCAGTGTAAGTTATATACTTATATTCTTGCTTATTATAGCTATGCAACCCTATCTCTGAAGAACATGGTCTGGACTCTGGTGTACTTATAGCTAAATTATGGTTTGACTTAGATGAGTTAAATATATTGCAGAGACACTGCTCAAGGCACTACCTTATATTGTAACACCAGTAAGAAGACTTACTATGCAAATGGTCCCATTTTTAATCTCACTGCATCAAGCGGGGCTAAGGACTATGTTGAATCAATGCCTCTAGTGACAGAGTTTTTCAGGTGCTGCAAATGTTGAAAAACTTGAAATTGTGCTTAGTACAACTTTGAGGTTTTGTTTTTAGATGCAGGCATCATATAAACGAATTATTTCTTTGTACAGCACCCCTGCCATGTCATTTCTGTATGAGAGAGGCTGGCGCCAAAATTTTGGGCTTGGTGGTTACCCCGGCCCTGATAGAGAGGTGATCTTATCAATTTTCTGTTTTTTTATTTTCCGTTCTTTGTCTTCATCTCACACAACTAGATGTATTTATTTTTTTCCATCCATATTATTAGCTTTGCAAGTTTTTGATATAGGCAACACTTGCCATGCCATAGTGTCTTATTTATTTCTTTTCTCTACAAAGTAGTCTGTTATACTATTGGTGAAAGCATAATGAATGCCTTATTTATGGATTCAGTATATTGTTCTTGATTGCAGTTTGAAATGGCAAAAGAATACTTTAAACCTGTTTTTGGTGGAAATATTGTTGACGCTAGCTGTGGAAGTGGATTGTTTTCAAGGCTTTTTGCGAAGAGTGGACTGTTTTCTCGAGTTGTTGCTCTTGACTATTCAGAAGCAATGTTACAGCAATGCTATGAATTTGTTAAAGAGGATCCAGGCTTCCCCAAAGAGTAGGATTTCCCATATTTGAGATCAGTTGAAGTTCAAACTTGATAGCAAATTCTTTTGACGACTTATTTTGACATGATCTGATTCATAATTCTGTTTCTCAACAGGAAGTTACTTTTGGTCAGAGCTGATATCTCCAGGCTTCCATTTGTTTCTGGCTCCATTGATGCTGTGCACGCTGGTGCTGCATTACATTGTTGGCCCTCACCTTCCTCTGCTGTAAGTGTATTTTTTTTACTGAGGATCTTTATCCTGCATGTAACAGCTTACCGCGCGACTTGTTATGTAATTTTTGTTCTTTTTATCCTGCATGTTTAGGTTTATAGTACACAGACTTAGATACCATCAATATTACATAAATACATATGCAGGTGTAAAAAAATTACACAAATACGTATTCAGGAGTTTTTGATGAACATATAATTGATCAGAGATCCTCTGTTATATCATCATTGTAATCCTTCAAACTCTATTCTGATGTTGATATAGCAGATCAGAGATCCTCTGTAATATCATCATTGTTACCATCAAACTCTATTCTGATGTTGAGATAACTTGAATTTCCTAATGTAGCTTAGTTTTGTAAAGGCTTGATTCTTTATATATACCTTTTATAATTATTTACTTGGCCTTTAAGCTCTGTAAATCAATTACATATTTTCTAAGTTTATCCTTTATGGCGCTAGGATACTTGCTACAAATATTGCTGTACATGGGGATCTGAATTCATTTGATTTGACTCGTGTTGCTTAATATCTTACACCGCTGCTGATATTCAGCTAGTTCTATAAAGTGCGGATTACGTCAAGTCATTTTAGCTATTTATTCAATCTATTTCCTTCATTTTCTTCTCTGGTAGAGTGCGGTCCATTAACTTGTCCCATTTTTCATTTTTTTTCTCACTCTTTGTAAAATAAAAAAAAATAAAAGGGGGTGGGGGGGGGGGGAGATGCATGTGGAGTAATTTCACTACCTTCACCAACTTGCTTATGTTTTCTTGTCTTTGCTTAGATTGTACCATGCATTGATGGATATGCAATTTGTTACTTATGCAGACAAGTAGTCTCTTAATTCCTTTACTTACAATCAAATTATCACTTTTTGTGTTAACTAATGTCTAGGTTGCTGAAATAAGTCGAATATTAAGACCTGGGGGTGTATTTGTTGCCACGACTACCATAGCAGATGGCCCTTTTTCGCTGGTGCCGTTTAGAAGTAATTTTCGTGAGGTAAATGACTTATCTTTGCAGTGATAAATTCTAGAATTAATCCTACTTAGCTACTAGTATTCCATACTTTTTATAGATTAGGGTAATATTGGTCCACTCTCATACTTTTGTGATTTATGTGGTATTATTGTAGTATTCCATACTTTTTATAGATTAGGGTAATGTTGGTCCAATCTCATACTTTTGTGATTTATGTGTTATTATTGTAGTATCTGCAGCAAATATCAGGGTCACGTGTTTTCCTCTCTGAACGTGAGCTTGAAGATCTCTGCACAACCTGTGGCCTAGTGGACTTTAGGTGCACACGGAATGGGCTATTCGTTATGATATCTGCTACAAAACCCAATTAAGCTTGTTGATTTCTGCAATTGTCTGTAATTCTGCATGTCCAAGGTGTCAATGCACAAAATACATTACAAGTACTGCATTGCTATCAGTAATGGTATCCATGCATGGCTATATGATTAATATGCAGGATGTTTTCCTGTATCATCCTGAATTTTCATTATCTTGTACATCTTTTTATCATTTTTTTTGCTTGTATAGAAATATTAATACCATCAGTATAAATTGTAATAACATCAAACTTCTATTTTTTGGCCAACTCGGAGTTTGAATAAAAATAAATAAATAAGCAGTTCTAGATTGTCAAGCTTATTGTGGTGGATTGGTGGTAAATGAAATTCATTTCAGTTTATTTGGCTCACGTATAGTATTAGCCTGTCAGCTTGCAGTGAGTTCAATAATTCTTGGGAGAAATCTTCATTGAACAGCCAATCAACTCTCTCATTATGGATGACTCTGTTTGCTGCTCCAGCAACGTTGTATTGTAAATTTGTAAGTGCTCATAAGTTGTGCTTTTCCTTAATTTTCCTTGGGCATCATATACTTGCAAAGTTGATTTTTGCCCACTAATATGCAGACATCAAGTTACTTTTTGAGTTTTTTGCTCTTAAAAATTCTGACATTTGAGATACTTTGTTTGAAAATAATCTAATTTCTTATACAGAGCTGTTACAACATTCATTATTGTATGTTACAAAATAGTATTACCCATCAGTATATATATAAAAACCTATTTCTTATGTGTGAGACATTTTGTACAAAAACAAACACACAGAAAAACTACACCAGCTAAATGTGCAAAGTACCGAGTATTTTACCAAGCTGTGAACTTTAATTGGTAACTGTGCATTCCTTGGGAAGACCCTGAGGGAACCTTTGTGTATCAGTGCAGTAATTGTAAATCCTGAAGCTTTTCTGCACTCATTGCAGCCTCTGCTGACCTGTGGTATCTAACTCTTGGTTCATCCAAGCAAATGTTGAGCCGGATCCATGGCATGAAGATCTGCCGTTGGACCAAACGCATGCATTGGCATTGAAGTTTCTGTAATAAGCTGTAAACGGAGCCTTGGTCCAGTCTGTCTTGATCCGGCCACCTTGTGTTGCCCAGTCTTCGGCATCCCAGAGGCTTGAGTATATCCTCATGGCCTGGCTCTTTGGAAATGGGACTCCAATAGATTCCATGTTCTTAAATTCTCTGATGGGTGTACCATCCACAGAAAATCTGAGGCCAAACAATAGAAAGGTAAGCAACCTAAACTATTATGATCCTTTATTACTGTATATACCCCTTCCCATTTCTGTACATGTTATTTTACGCGTCCTTAAATTTCAGAACTACAAATAGTCTTAGGAATTTTATGTGTATAAATTAGATATATTGTTGACTTACATGATTCTTTGGGGATTCCAGAGGATGGAATAGGTGTGGAAGTCGGTAGTTGGGTCAAACCAGAGACGGAATTGTTGCTCTCGACCACCTTTCCCTTGAGTGAAAACGTTTGTGTGGAGTGTATAAGGCTGACCGGTGACGTTGCCTAGAAATTCAAGGTCTACCTCATCATGGGTAGGTCCTTGGGAAGATAACTGTAAAAATACAAATAGAAGAACGTGAACAAATTTGATAGATTGTAGGGGGTAGAGGTGGCTAGTGGGCCAATTCAAGTACATGGGATGTGGGTTAATTCTCAACTAGCAGCCCAGTTGAATTTGCCCAAACCAGTTGGCCCGTTTAAGTTAAAGCCATTTTTTTATTTTGGTTTTGGCAAAGTTCTAGCCCTCTCATTCAACTGGAACCAGCCCAGTTTGATTGCTTCGTGGGCTGGTTCTAGTTCCCAAAACTGCAGCCTGGCCTGGCTCAGTGGTCAATAGCCAGCACTGGCAGGGCAATAATAACTTCGTTTTAATATGAGATGGTAATCATTTTATCAAGGGATGATGAATGACATGAGTGAGACTTACGTAATAGGCAGTCACAGTGCCAGCAGAGTTCCCTGGGACAAGCTTGATTTTCATGTCAATCTTCCCAAAAAGATATTGGTTCTTAGATTGGAAACCAGAGCCAGAGGCTTTGTCAAGGGAGAGCTTGAGGAGCTGGCCGTTGTTTAGAATTTTGGCACGACCATCACCCCAAGTGAGGTCAAAGTTCTGGTAGAAATTGCTAGCAGTAGAAGCCAGTGCAGTTAAATACACAAACATGAGGACTTTGATGAGAAAAATAGTAGTGGCAGCAGCCATTGTGAGCTAATGATAGTAAGCAATATATTTTTTAGATGAAGATACTTGCTTGATGGGTTTGTGGTGTGCATGAGGCAAGGATATTTATATGCAGGAGATGGCAAACGATGATTAGGGCGGCTGGTGAAGTTGGTAGAAAGACAATGACTTGTTAATTACTATTATTACTGATAGGTATTGGGATTATAGTTAGTAAGGTTGAAATTATAACGATGAAACAGCTGTTATCTGTTATGAAGCACTAATGCTACTGTAACTTATGAAATAGATAAAACAAAAGAAGAGGTTGTGGTGGTCATCAGTCAAATTGTCTTCTTGATGTAGCGGATTTGAAAAAGGTGCTGCCAGGTGGCACCCTGGTGGATATTCTGTTATTGCACATAGCTAGTGAACCTAAGGTGAAAAGGACGGTGTTTTTGAGGAAGAAGCTTGCTACAAACCCATTGGTAGTATATTTTTAATACTTGAGCTAAGTAGTGTATTCTTGCTAGTGCTGTATGGTATGAGCTTAAGCCTTTAAATGATCTATTGGTAGGCGGCAATTATAATGAATTTATATTTAATTTTACAAGAAAAACCCTATGATAATGTTCTCCACCTCTAACTATGTGTATTTCTTCATAAATTTCATTACCTCTATATCTTATTCTTCTAAAGGGTAATGAGTAGTAATGAAGATTTATAGGTAGTAAAAAAACATTTTGAGGAGAGGATTGCAACTTTAACATACAACTTCTCTTGCAAAATTACATGCAAGTTTATTATCTTTACTATCGTTTATTATCATCTACTAAACAGGCTGTTGGAGAGTAGAGATTAGTGGTTTAACTTTGTCAAACAACGGACATAGATCCTCTATTATGTTTGATATATTAACTTTTTGCTAGGAGCCAAAGAGGTTGGCAATTTGATTAGTTATCCGAAAGTAAATTTTTGGTGGTTAGAACTAAGTATAGTATTCTTAATTCCTTCCACTTGAACCAAACAGCCCCTTATTATGGATTGATTGTTTATGTCTGTTAATTTATTTGTTTAGAACTACTATTGCAGCAAATTGCAAGCAATTTGCTACACTTAAATTTAAATGAGTAAAATAAACCTTGAACTTCTATTGGTTAATGTACAACCACTAACTTCTAGTAAAATTGTTAACCACTTGCTATATCATGCTGCTTCTCTGTCCTACTAACATGTTGCTTAATATATTTCATATGAAAATATATTTTACATTTACAATTGAAATCCTAATCTGACTTATATTGACCCTTAATCTAAAGTTGTGTATGCTAGACTTTTATGTTTACTTGTACTAATTTTTTAAGGTATGGAAAGAAGGTAAGTTTAGGATGCGTTGATGCGACAAGTTTATCTTGTCCACTAGCAGGCAGATTGGTTGCTAGAGAAAAACATGTTAGCTGCTCATGAAGGTTGGATTGATGAAACCACATCTGACTTCAATTAGCAAATTGAATAAGTTGAGATAGAGTATAGTATATAAGTTGTTAGTGTGAGATTTCTCTTATTGTCAATTGGTTTAGTTTAAAGCTCGAATTGGACTAAGGTTGTATGTGTAGGCCCGTTGAAGGTTAAAAAATGGTTTCAAAGCCACTAAAGATTTGTTGTCCTTAGGAGAGAAATGTCCCATTGGTTAGCAAAAGGAAAAGGATTTGAAGATTTGTTTAGCTGCCTAATACTATTGGCTACATTTAAAACCTCAGGCGGAAGGAAGTCTATTTCTGAACTCTTCGAGTTGCAAGTATGTAATGATTCTCTTCAGTCACAAGTGAGGAGTGATGAGAGTAAATCCATGTGTGTTGTCGCTCATGGAAGGAGAATAAATTGGAGCTGCTTTAATTGGTTTTAGGATAGAACTTTGAGTAGTCGTGTATGTGGTCAATTCGGTGTCCAATACGATTTTATATGTAGGTTTCAATATAGAAAATTGTGTGGTAGCCGGTAGTCGCGAATGAATGATTGTTGGCATTTTTTCCATCAACTGTTGATGGTGTGAAAGGCTTTACTATAGTGGTGCATTTTAAGGTTCATTTGTTTTAGTTTTGTTGGTGGTTGTAGTAGCATGATCCTTTTTTAATTTTAGTGATTAGGAATTACAATGTGAGAGTAATGATTAAGAAAAAAAAAATGTTAATTAGTCCTCCACATATGTCCTCGCATCTCAGTGTCTTTAGTGTTAGTGTAATTAGTGCACCATCATCACTCACATAGTATTGTGGCTACCTTCAACTCTTCTTCCATGAACTTATCTATGTCAATTCTAAACTGATGGGTCATATTTATTTTTTAAATTAAACAAAAGTAATAAATTATAAGTATACAATGATGCAATTGCAAAAACTGTTAAAATAGTAAGATATTGATTAGGAACTTGGTTAATGTTGCTCCACACGCGTAGTTTCTTGATTATGTGTTATTATTGTAGTGTCTGCATCATCAAGTATCAGGATCGCGTTTTTTGACTTTTCCCTATCTGAACTCGAACTTGAAGATCCCTGTTCAATCTGTGGCCTGGTAGACTTTACATGAACAAGGATGCACATTTCATTATGATTTCTTGCAAAACCCAATTAAGCTGGTGGAGTATATTGTGTTACTTTGGATTGTGTACGATATTAGTCTTTCACTCTTTCAGCTTGCTAGAGTTCAGGACTTCAGGATGACTATTTGTTCTGGCAGAAGTTCAATACAGTATGAATACAAAACATTACAATTATACCTACTTTTTTACTTATGTATGTGTGATTAGTACAAAAATGAATACATTACACTAGCTAAACAGCACAATGTCACAAAGTAGCTCAAAAAGCTCGGAACTGTAATTGGTAATTGTCAATCCTTAGGAAGATTCTGAGAGAATGTGTGAAAATTTTGTTCACTGTGGCGGCCTTTTGGCTGACTTGTGATATTGAGCTGTTGGTTCATCCAGGCAGATGTTGAGCCAGACCCATGGCATGGAGATCTGCCGTTGGGCCGAACACATGCATTGGCATTAAAGTGTGTAAGAAGCTGTAAATGGAACCTTAGCTTGGTCCAGCATCCTAGGGATTGAGTATA